CTACCTCAGCCTCTCCATCTGTGAAATGGTGATGATAATATTTGTTCTGGTCGGGCGCGGTGGCTCACATCTGTAATCCTACCACTTTGGGAGGCCAAGGCAGGCAGATCACCTGAAGTCGGGAGTTCGAGGCCAGCCTGGCCAACATGGTAAAACCCTGTGTCTACCAAAAATACAAAAATTAGCTGGGCATCATGGTGCTTGCCTGTAATCCCAGCTACTTGGGAGGCTGAGGCAGGAGAATCACTTGAAACTGGGAAGTGGAGGTTGCAGTGAGCCGAGATCATGCCACTGCACTCCAGCCTGGGTGACAGAGCAAGACTCTGTCTCAAAGGAAAAAAAAAAAAAACTGGGGCCGGGCGCAGTGGCTCATACCTGTAATCCCAGCACTTTGGGAGGCCGAAGTGGGCGGATCGCCTAAGGTCGGGAGTTCAAGACCAGCCTGGCCAGCATGGTGAAACCCCAACTCTACTAAAAATACAAAAATTAGCCGGCTGTGGTGGCAGGTGCCTGTAATCCCAGCTACTCGGGAAGCTGAGGCAGGAAAATCGCTTGAACCCAGGAGGCGGTTGCAGTGAGCTGAGATCACACCATTGCACTCCAGCTTGGGCAACAGAGTGAGACTCCGTCTCAAAAAAAAAAATTGGTTTCTATCTCCTAGGGCTGTTTCGGAAACAAAATGAGTGAACTGTGTAGAACGGCACCTGCGCACAGTCAGAACATGCTATTACTGATATCACCACGTTGCACTCACAACCGAGGACAGGAGAGACCGTGCTTGAGATGAGAGTGGGAGCTGAAACTCAAACCCAGCCCGATCTCTCTCCTCCCCCTCTTCCCACATGGTCCCAAGAAGTCTCTCGCTTTTAGAGGCTGTGGAGAAGTGGCACTATGACACCCAGGGGGAGGCAGAGGACACATGGGCAGCCTGCCCCACGAGGGTGGCAGGCGAAGGCTACGACACCCAGGATGGGCCAGAGATGCTGGGATGTGCCTGGGTTAGGAACACTCAGAGCGAGGCAGAGTTCTGGGCCTTTACATACAGGTGGGGTCCCTGGGTTGGGGGAGATTAGGCGGGTTCTGTATAGGCCTGAGGCTATGGAGGCAGGTTTTGGCTCAAGGCACATAGGACTTTCTCATTGTCAGGAGTGCGGAGGAGGGCTAGAGATAGTGACGGAAGGTGGTGTGAGCCCCGTCCTCCGAGGCATGCAAGCAGGGTCCCAGCCCTAACCTCTGCAGTGCTCCCACCCGTGGTCTGTGATGTCCCTGCTGGGAGAGGTCTCCCTGGAGCATGTCACCTTTTGAAGACCACGGGAACTTGAGGAGTTCAGCAGAACCCTGAAATAGAGCCTGGGAGATTCAGAGCAGGAACTGTGGGTGCCTGGCTCACCCCGGCTCCTCTCTAGCCCTCTGCAATTCCTCCACCAGGAATGGTCCTGCCAAAGAGCTGGGTATCCCCTCCTGCAGGAAGCCCTCTCACCTGACTGCGGGAGTCTAGGACACTCTTAGTGGATTAGGGACTCTCCTGCCTGTCCCTTGTGAGCACCAAGAAAGCTGTGCCTGTGTCCCCAGCACCCACCCTAGGGCTGGCCCCGGTGGCACTCAATAACTGCTAGAAAGTGATGGCTGGAGGCAAACTGCTACCCCTGCAGGGGCCCTGAGAAGTGAAGGTGGAGAGATGTGGCAGCCCCAGAGCCCTGGGGTGACCTGGCCCCTTCCCGTCCCCCAGCCCCCCTCACCTGGAGCACAATGGCTGGCACTGAGAAGATCATGGCTTCGTTGAACACCGGGTTGGGGTCATCCCTCTTCACAGCTGTCTTCTTTTTGCTCATCTTCCTCCCATCCTGCAGCAGGTATACCTTGACGAAGGGGTCTGTGGGCAGGTGCAGCAGTGAGGGCCAGCGTCACACTCACTCACCACAGCCCTGCCCAGTCTGGCTCCACCCACCGACTCCAAACTCCTCAATGCTTTGCTGTTGTCGTGACCTCCTGCAGCCCCGCCCTTGGTCCTTTATTTTTTTTCCCATTTCACAGATGAGAAAACTGAGGCTCACACAGCATGTCAGGTGAGGGCTGGGCTTTGTGCTCAGGCAGCTGCCTCACAGCCCACGCGCTCCCCTCCTAGGATGCTGGGGGGAACTCAGCAGCCCTACCGTGTTCCTTCTATAAATGGCCCGAGTGCAGACGTCAGCCCTGAGTCACCAGGCGCCCGCACACCAGAGCCTGACTCAACCGTGTGCGGCTCTGAAATAACAAGTTGCCGTCTGCCCATCACCTATTGCCCACGGAGTGTCCTTGCTGCACCTGCCTGGAGCTGGCCCCTCCCCCGCTCCCCCGCGCTGTCCCAAGACTTGCAACTCCCAATAGATCAGGCTCCCCCAGCCCCCTGTCTTCAGTTCTCTAGAATACAGCTGCCTCCACGGTCACTGCTTTGAGAGGGACTAAGGGACTGGGGGCTCCTGCAGACCTAAGGCATGAGGTCCTGCCTGGCACCCACCTCAACCCCATGGCCCTGGTCCCTTTTTGGAGTCTGGGGTACTGCCCTGTCTCTGGGAATGGAGCCTCCATCATGAATTCCAGTTCCAGGAAACAGATGCCCACCTTGGTTCCCTGCCCAGTGCCCCCAGCCCTGAGTGCTGCCTCCTGCCCTCAGACCCCCCATCACTCTGACCCCCTTCACTCTGCCCTCACAGGGGCCCCTGCCACCCTCCAGGGATCTCATGTTTCCCCCGTTGGATTAATTGTGCCCATGCCACCCCCTACCCATCTGCACGACTTCTGGGCTCAGCAAAGCTGAGGGGAACCTTGGCACTGTGTCCCACACTTGCTGATGCCTCCAGGTGCCCACAGCACAGCAGCTGGGCCACAGCTTCCACTGAGCCACATGGGGGAGCTGGGCTGCCTGCTGGGCCTTACCCGCTGTGGTCTTGTCGTTGGTCCAGATGAGGTTCTTGGCCTTAACCACGACCACGGTGAGGCGCTCGGCTGTGGGGAGGTAGCTGAGGGAGAGCAGGATCTCCCCCACAGCATCGGCGGCCTGGGGGACAGATGGGTGGCTCAGAGGGCTTCTCTCCACCCGACTTGAGGGGTCCAGGGAAGGCCTTGGTTGCCAGGGAAAGGCTGAGGCTTCCTTCTCCATAGAGAAGTGGCTGCACCGGGGGCCCCTCAGCACAGGGCTCCAGGCTGGCAGGGACAGCCTGGAGAAAGGGACAGCCACCCACCCCCCGCCACTGCATGGAGCATGTCCCACCCCTCCCTTCCACCGGGTGTGGGCCCTGCCTGGGACCAAAGGCCAGAGGCGGCCTGTCACATGTAGCTATCAAATGTAGTTTTGTTCCGTCATTGCAGGCCAAGGAAAACACTCTGCGGTAGTAATACGCAGCGATCCAAGTGGAATGGAATTCGATTCTTTGCTTAAACAGCAATGATGTTCTGTGAACATTCCTACAATTACAAAACTACAGTGCAGCTTGGCCTCTGTCTGAAATCATCCCCTCTAAGGCCAGAGGAATGTTTCTCTAGCAGAAGCGCAGTAGGGGTAGAGCCTCTGAAGCTTTGGTGGCAAAGCAGCAGAAGAGCTGTAAACAGTGGTTGGGATGTTTCTGAAATTTGCCTGCAGTAAGCGGTTTCCTCAGACGTGGCTCTGGTCTTCTTCTCTGCTCTCCTAATGATGTTGGGGTTCGGGCCATTGCTGAGGATGATGGAGTCCCTTAATGGAAGTGTATGCGTGTGCGCGCTCTTCCGAGGCGGACGAGTAGGCCGGGGCAGGTCACTTACCTTGTTCTGGTCCTGTAAATAGAGCCAGCCGCTGAAGGGCTGCAGTGGGAGGTCAAGCACAGAAAGCTTCAGCTCCACCACCCCCGTGCTGACGTTGCGCTCATCCTCATCGATGCCAAATACAGAAAACCGCAGGCTCTTCTCCTCCAGGGCTGTGGGATCCAGGGGGATGGAGAACTTCTCATCAAAGAAGATGGAGTAGGCATTCCTCTGGATCTGCAGGAGAAAGGGCCATGGAGGGTGCTAGGGGCCTGAGAGGCCGCAGCAGGGAGAGAGCACTGGACAGGGAGTCCAGAGGCCCAGGCTAGAGTCCTCGCTCTGTCGTCATGACACCTTCAATGCCAATCTTTCCTTTGGTGGCTCAGCCTTGAAGGTTTAAAAGCCTCCTGTCCTCTCCTCAGTGGTGGCCAATCTAGCGGCCTGGCGTTTGAAGCTCCCACAATCTGATCCCAACTAATTTCTGTCCTCAGTGCCCGTGGCACCCCAGAACCCTCCAGATGCCCTGGAGGAGGTGGTCTCCATCTCTCTTGCATCTGCTCAAGTCTAGCCCTAGGCCAGGCAAGCAGTGGAGTGGGACAGTTGTCTGTGGAGTCACGAGCCACTGATGTCCCAGGTTCCTGAAGAGCCTGGCCCGGGACTGTTTGAACACCGTAGGCTGGATGGGTGGATGGAAGGGAGGACTAGGCGAGGTTGGGCCAACTCGGTTTCCAAGCCCAGTCCTGCCTGGTGGGCGCCACTGGCCTCCTCCCAGGAAGTCGTGGGCGGGCCCCCGGGAAGGTGCATTGCGGGCACTGTCTCTGGGGAATGGGGGGGATGCTTTAGTCACTGCCTGGCGATATTTAAAGAAAGGCGTTCTCATCCTTGGACCCTGCCTGAGGCTGAGGGGCTGCCTAGCCTGGGGGCAGCACCCCCTGTGGGATTGCCCAGGCTGTTATGCTGGGAAGCTTGCCTTCCCCAGAATAAATCCCCCAGGGCCACCAGCCACCATGACCACACTCTTCTGTCACTGCCTGGGCATGGAAAGGCTCTTCTCACAGTGCTCACGTTCCCTACACAACCCCTTGCTTTTGAAGGGCTCCTGGCCTCCAAGGGATAAAGCCCACCTGGCCTCCTGACCTCCTGACCTCGGCATTCAGGCTGGTCATGATCTGGCTCCACCTGTCCCTCCTTCGGCTAAATTAGCCTCTCAGCTGTCCCCTGCTCATGGGGGCCTGGGCTTCCCAACCAGCCATTCTCTGAACATGTGCTTTGTGCGCACATGGGTGGAGGAGGATGGAACCCTGGGTTCGAGTCCCGGACCTCCTGCTTCCTTACTGGGGTTGTCTTGGGCAAAGCACTTTCCCGAGCCTCAGTTTCCTCCTCTGTAAGATGCCCTAACAATCCGTCCTGTTGGCCTCAGAATCATGGCTGTGCTAGGCTCTGTGAACCAGGTTCTCAGCACACATCAGGCTGTGCTGGCTGCTGTCTGCCAATGACCCTCCTCCAGGAATGCGTCCTGAACCACCCGGAGTCCTCTAGGCAGCCCAGACCACAGGCAACATGGCTGGGCACGACAGGAGCTCTGCACGGTTCTGAGAGCCAACCTATGGGGCACTGACCCGGGCTGGGCTAAGAACTCCACATACGTTAACCCATCTCTTTCTCAATAACCATGATGACCATTTGACAGATGGGGAAATTGAGTCATGGGGTGCTAAACTGACTTACCCAAGGTCATACTGCTAGGAAGAGGTGGAACCAGGATTTGAACCCAGGCAATCAGGCTCCAGGGTCCTGCTCCTAATCGCCTACTATACTGACTCTCAGAAGCTGGGCCACCCCAACGTGTTGCCTAAACACGCCCTCCTTGCACTCTGGTCACAGGCCATCCCCATCCTTCAGCCCAGATGTGGCTCTGTTGGCTTGGCTCTGTGAGGTACAGGGATGTGTGGAGGGTAGCCTAAGGGACTGGGTGCCTTCCCTGCCCCTCACGCTTTATTCTTCACCCTTCCCCACTCTGCTCTGGCCCTGAGAGTTGACCTCCATGGGCTGTGTCAACAGATTCCCTTGGCCTTTGGCTTCTGGTCAGGTCAACCAGTGGAGGTCACCAGAAGGAAACTGGAGGGGGAGGGAGGTCCTTCTCTGCAGTATTGCTGCGGGACGACCATGTCCCTTGGCCAAAGGGCGCAGCTCCCACCAAGGTAGCCCTTTCCACAAAAGGTGGCCCTCTATCCTCTTGGGCCCAGTAACCTCACCTTCCCCTCATCCCTTCAGATCTAGAGTGGGACCGCCCCTCCTGTTACACCCCTCCAGGGTACCATGCCATCCCTGAGGTCGCCTCACAACCCATCTGCGCCACTCTAAATGTTCTTGTTATTTTTAAAATTTATTTATTTATTTATTATTTTTGAGGTGGAGTCACTTTGTCGCCCAGGCTGGAGTGCGGTGGCATGATCTTGGCTCACTGCAACCTCCGCCTCCTGAGTTCAAGCAATTCTCCTGCCTCAGCCACCCAAATAGCTGGGATTACAGGTGTGCACCACCATGCCTGGCTAATTTTTGTATTTTTGGGAGAGATGGGGTTTCAGCATGTTGACCAGGCTGGTTTCAAACACCTGACCTCAGGTGATCCACCTGCCTCAGCCTTCCAAGGGGCTGGGATTACAGGTGTGAGCCACTGCGTCCACCCCTATTTTTATTTTTTGAGATAGGGTCTCATTCTGTCACCCAGGCTAGAGTGCAGTGGTGCAATCGTGGCTTATTGCAGCCTCAACCTCCTGGACTCAAGTGATCCTCCCATCTCAGCCTCCTGAATAGCTGGGACTATACATTAGCTGGCACTACCACACCCAGCTAAATTTTTTTTTTTTTTGTTACAGAAGGAATTTTGCCGTGTTGTTTAGGCTGGCCTTCAACTCCTGGTTAGGCTCAAGCGATCCTCCCACCTTGGCCTCCCAAAGTGCTGGGATTACAGGCATGAGTCACTGTACCTGGACAGTCCTGTTATTAAGCTCTCCCCAAATTAGCCCTCTTGAGCATGTCATCCCTTTTCTGCTGGGACCCCATGTTGACACAGGGCAGATGTGGACAGGGACAGTTGCCACACTCTGTATTCACCTAGCAGGAGAGCTAAGAACTCCACACAATGGGAGCCTTCAGGTGGAGCCCCCCACCTCCCGGCTCTGTATGGAGCTTTCTCTACCGTCTGAAGCTTCAGCTCTGGGATCAGCATCCATATTTGCGCTCTAGTGCCTTCCTGGGATCCTGCCGGGCCCCACCGCCCTGTCTGCCTGGGAGGCGTCTAGTGAGCCCAGAGCACCCTTGTGCCCCACCCTAAGCCCCACTTACCCGGGAAATGCCCACGATCTGCTCGTCGGGCAGCAGGCTGACGCGCATGAAGCAGGACTCGAAGCTGGCCTCCTCCTGCTCCAGGAGGTCCTTGCCCTGCAGCACCGCCACGTGCAGGGTGTGGGAGGCAGCGTCGTACTCCATGCTCACCTCCACCTGGCCCAGGGTGAAGTCCTGCCCAAAGGTGTTGCTCACGGAGGAGATGGAGTTCAGGGAGTCGGCCGACTGGGACTTCCGGAGGGTCCCACAGTGGGCCAGGTCCAACTCCCGGCCCATCAGCTCCAGAGGCCCCAGCTCACTGATGCTCTCAAAAGTGTCCTCAATGCTGAGACTGCCTTTGCGGCTGGATGATCCCCGCGTGCTGGCCCGCTGGGCATTCCAGGCAGGCACTCTCTGGGGATGAGAAAGAGGGATGTGGGAGCATCATGGGGGCCATAGGCAGGGTCACTGGGAGACGTCAAAGAGATGAGTAAGTCCTGTTCATTCTCGAATCTCCAAGTTCCCCTTTCACAGAAGCCCTGTATCCCTTAGCTAGGAAGGTCCTTGTTTAATATTATTTCATGTCACTTATTTATTTATTTATTTATTTTTTTGAGACCGCGTTTCACTCTTGTTGCCCAGGCTGGAGTGCAATGGCGCGATCTTGACTCACTGCAACCTCTCCCTCCAGGGTTCAAGTGATTCTCCTGCCTCAGCCTCCTGAGTAGCTGGGATTACAGGCACGCGCCACCATGCTTGGCTAATTTTGTATTTTTAGTAGAGACAGGATTTCTCCATGTTGGTCAGGCTGGTCTCGAACTCCCAACCTCAGGTGATCTGCCTACCTGCCTCAGCCTCCCAAAGTGCTGGGATTACAGGCCTGAGCCACCGTGCCCAGCCTAGGGGTACACGAGACTTTTTTTTTTTTTTTTTTTGAGCCAGAGTCTCACTCTGTCGTCAGGCTAGAGTGCAGTGGCAAGATCTCGATTCACTGCAACCTCCACCTCTCGGGTTCAAGCAATTCTCCTGCCTCAGCCTCCTGAGGACCTGGGATTACAGGTGTGCACCACCACGCCTGGCTAATTTTGTATTTTTAGTAGAGACGGGGTGTCTACATGTTGGCCAGGCTGGTCTCAAACTCTTGACCTCAGGCAATCTGCCCGCCTCGGCCTCTCAAAGTGCTGGGATTACAGGCGTGAGTCACTGCGCCTGGCCAACTATTTATTTATTTATTTATTTATTTTTTGAGACAAAGTCTTGCTGCATTGCCCAGGCTGGAGTGCAGTGGCACAATCTTGGCTCGCTGCAACCTCTGCCTCCTGGGTTCAAGCAATTCTCCTGCCTCAGCCTCCCAAGTAGCTGGGACTACAGGCACCCGCCACCACACCCAGCTAATTTTTGTATTTTTAGTAGAGACGGGGTTTCACTATGTTGGCCAAGCTGGACTTGAACTCCTGACCTCATGATCCACCTGCCTTGGCCTCCCAAAGTGCTGAGATTATAGGCGTGAACCACCGCGCCTGGCCCCTCAACTTTTTCTTAACATGTTTATTTGTAGGGACAGAATTCCATACATCAAGTTGTCGATTGCAGTGATGTTTAGAAAAAGGAAAAACAGCTAGCACCCTAAGTGTCCCAGAAGAAGAACGGGTAAGAATACCAGAAGCCAGCCACTCAAGAGATGATGGAGCAGCCACAAGGGAATTTTACAACACAGGAAGCTTTCATGTTGGGTGACGCTCACCCAAATATTAATTTTTTTTTTTCCCTTGGCCAGTCACGGTGGCTCACGCCTGTAATACCAGCACTTTGGGAGGCTGAGGTGGCAGATCGCCTGAGGTCAGGAGTTCAAGACCAGCCTGGCCAACATGGTGAAACCCTGTCTCTACTAAAACTACAAAAATTAGCCGGGTGTGGTGGCATGCACCTGTAATCTCAGCTACTCAGGAGGCTGAGGCAGGAGAACTGCTTGAACCCAGGAGGCGGAGGTTGCAGCGAGCCAAGATTACGCCGTTACACTCCAGCCTGGGCGACAGGGTGAGACTCTGGCTCAAAAACAAATAAATAAATAAATATTTTTATTTTCCTTAAATTGACCTTGGGATTTGAGAAAACAAGAACCTTTTATACCACAAACATCTTCCATGCCTTCATTACCATAATTTTTTTTTTTTTTTTTTGAGACAGGGTCTCACTTGCCCAGGGTGGAGTGCGATCACAGCTCTCCACAGCCTCAATCTTCTGGGCCCAAGCGATCCTCCCACCTCACTCTCCCAAGTGTCTGCGACCACAGGCGTGAGCTACTACACCTGGCTATTTTTTTTTTTTTTTTTGAGACGGAGTCTCGCTCTGTCGCCCAGGCTGGAGTGCAGTGGCACAATCTTGGCTCGCTGCAACCTCTGCCTCCTGGGTTCAAGCAATTCTCCTGCCTCAGAATAGCTGGGACTATACATTAGCTGGCACTACCACACCCAGCTTAATTTTTTTTTTTTTTGTTACAGAAGGAATTTTGCCGTGTTGTTTAGGCTGGCCTTCAACTCCTGGTTAGGCTCAAGCGATCCTCCCACCTTGGCCT